GGGCGGAGAGCCGAGCAGAGTGGGCGGGGCAGGCGCGTCCCCCGAGGTCTTGCTGGAGGAACAGCGCGGTCGGTCGTGGAGTCAGCCTCGGCCCCGTGGTTGGGAGCGATCCCCACACCTCTGTCTCAGAAACAGGCGTGTTCCACGTTTTATACGGAACCTCAGAAAACCTTGTAAAACGAGGTCCCGAGACAAAGGCAGAGTCACTGATTCAGGAGTCTCTGAAGCGCTGGCTTGTCAGTTGTTGAAACTAGTCTCCCGCCTGCGTCCCTCCCCGTCTCATTCAGCCCCTTCACACTTTCCTTTCCGTGGCTGTGCCTCCGTGTTTAGGGGACGGCACCCACCCCGCCTGTGAGCACAGGTCACCTGCGACTGCAGAGTAAAACGCAGGAGGGAGAAGTTCACGCTCAATAAGATTTTGCATTTACTTTGTTTTGATGAGTCATCTGTTTTCCATGTAAACAGTTCCGGTCTAAACGTTTCCATATCGAAGAGCAGCTCTAGGCACTTGTTTAAAACGCTCCACACTGGTCGTCAGTAATTTAGTGATGTGAAGCCGCGAGTACTTACAGACCGGGGCTGACGGGAGGCTCCCTCCGCTCCCCCACCAGCGGGGTCCCGGTGACGGTCCCTCTCCCTCCCCCCAGGCCTCGCCAGCTTTCAGGCTTTGATCGAAGAGTCTGAGATGCAGAAGTTCCCAGACAATGACCTTCTGCGCCACCTTCGCCTAGTCACACAGGACGCGGAGAAGTGTGCCTCTGTGGCACAGCAGCTGCTCAACGGCAAGAGACAAACCAGGTGGGTCCTGGTGCTGGGAGGTGCCTCTGTGGTGACCTCGGACCTTCTGTCCTGCGTCCTGGACCCTGGAGTCAGGGTGGTGGGAGTGTGGTCTCACGCGGCTTCCTCGGCCTTTGTCTTTAAAGATACCGATCTGGTGGAGGAAAATCCCCAAACCAGCTGACAGTGAGCGAGCTCCGGCAGTTTGTGACACAGCTGTATGCTCTCCCGTGCGTCCTCAGTCAGACGCCGCTGCTCAAGGTAACCGCAGAGGCGTCTGGGGGGGCACGTGGCGAGCCTGCGTTTCCTAAGTAAATCCAGCTCACGCGATGAGGTGGTCGTCTTGCAAATGTTGCTAATAGCACATTGAGTGTTATGTGCGTATAGAGATGTAACAGGCTTACAAAGGAGAGGTACAGTCGGGAGTTTTTACCTCGAAAGCCACCACCAGCTGCTTGTTGCAGCTGGTCACGGCCCTGTTCCGGTCCCTCGTTGCAGCTGTCATCGCTGTGCATCGTCTCGTTCACCCAGATTATTACAGAAATCCAGCGAGATAAAACGGGTGACATTGAAGATCCTAAGTGTGAAAGAAGCCAGCGACTGAAATTACTGTTCTGATGCAACAACTTGTGTTGTTTAGGACCTTTTGAATCGTGTGGAAGATTTCCAGCAGCACAGCCAGAAGTTGCTCTCTGAGGAGACGCCCAGGGCTGCTGAGCTGCAAGAGTTGCTGGATGTCAGCTTCGAGTTTGACGTGGAGCTTCCCCAGCTTGCTGAGGTGCGCGTCCGCCTGGAGCAGGCCCGTTGGCTGGAAGAGGTGCAGCAAGCGTGCCTCGACCCCAGCTCGCTCACCTTAGACGATATGAGACGTCTCATAGACCTCGGGGTGGGTCTGGCCCCGTACGCGGCCGTGGAGAAGGCCATGGCCAGGCTCCAGGAGCTGCTCACCGTGTCGGAGCACTGGGACGACAAGGCCAGGAGCCTCCTCAGGGCCAGGTGAGCAGGCAGGTGGCACCGCCCCCGCGGGGGTGCTCTTCCACCCTCGCGCACAGAGCACGGTGGTGGGCTCGGGCAGGGGCTGGGCCGTTGCAGCCGTGCCCGGAGGATGCAGGCAGAGGGGGCGCAGGTGCCGGGGGCTGCTTGGAAGTTGGACAAAATAAGATGATTTTTTTACTTTACTGATTATGAAATGAGTGCTTCACGTCGACGTGCCTGTTCTAGAGTTCTGTGCGATGCCGTCTTTGAGAGAAAACAGATTACAAATAAGTGGGACTTTGTTTCAACTCAGGAAATGAGTGAGGTCCCAGGGGCCTTAGGCCTGAGCCCATGTGCTCTGGGCTGGACGGTGGGGATCGTGGCTGCCTCGGCTGCCGCTCAGGAATCGAGGGCACCGCGTCCGTGCCCGAGAGAGGGCACTGGACCTGGCAGGCCGTCGGGGGGACCAGCCCCTCCGTAACCCTGCCATCAGCCTGGTGGGTCTTTATTGGTCCAGTGGACAGCATAAAGTACAAAAGTAATCTAAGCCGTAGGCATTCTTTGTAACCCTAACGTGGCGGCCACTGTGCAGAGCACACGCTTACCACACTGCTTCTGGTATGGTGATGTCCTACAGGGTTTTTTAAGTTTTAATTGACTTTACTGGGGTGACACTGGTTAATAAAATGATATAGGTAAAAATAAGCAATAAATAAAGGCACCTGATGTCATCCCCCCCCCCCAAAATTCTATAGGTTTCAGGTACACAGTTCCTGCTATTTATTGTAATATTCTAGAGAATCTTAATTTTCTTAGACAGTAGAAACAGTGTATCTGATTTAACACGGAATAAATTATTACTAAGTGAGCTACAAATGGAAGTGTGTGGTTTTTACCAGCATGAAATGGGGAGTAAGTAGAACTTAAGGGCTTTACTGGGTCCATTGCTTTGTCTTAGATGCTCCTAAGTCTTAGGCAGCCGTTCAAAGCTAATTAATTGTATATCTAGTAGTTCCTGCCATTTGAAAAGTTACTTGCTACACCGACTTTCCCTTGAGATGACTTTGCTAGTCTGTTTGGTGCCGTCGTCTGGAACTGAGTGGCTTGTCTCCGCCTGTAGGCCCCGGCACTCGTTGACCAGCCTCGCCACGGCGGTGAAGGAGATCGAGGAGATCCCCGCCTACCTGCCCAGCGGCGCGGTTCTGAGAGACGCGGTGCAGAGAGCCCGGGACTGGCTTCAGGAGGTGGAGGCCCTGCAGGTCGGTTTTTTGACCTTTGAATAAGTATAGTTGCCTCTGGTTGGCTTGTCCACAGGTTGGAGCCGAGCCCAGCAGGAGTAGTGGGTTCAGCCAGCCTAGTTCTGAGATTATAGACGCGCCTTCTGTGGTTCGCCCAGTTCTCAGCTGGTAACTTTATTTGAAAAGTGGTTGATGTGGGAGTGTCTCCCCTCATTTCTCTAATCCTCATAAACCAAAAGGTCTTATGGACCTATTGAGAGAAGATCTTTGAAATATTTAATAGGCTGTGTTTTAAAATTTTAATCTGTATTGTTTCAAGTTCTGTTTTTGAAGCCATCAGGTTCTAGAAATAAAATGCCACCTTGTTTTCCGAACATTTGTGTCATTTTAAGTGGTGCTAATTAGTCAACTGCCAGCGAGAAGTGCCCCCCCCAATGCTTGATTCCTCCAGTTTGGGCATTTTGTTCTCAAAATGTGGCCCCAGACCAGCAGTACTTGCGCCGTTTCTCATTAGAAATGCAAATTCCTGGACCCTTCCCTGGTGAACTGTCTGGGGATGGGGCTCAGGAAACTTGAAACGGGCTCTGACGTTTGAAAACCAGTGGGCTTCCTCCACTCGTGTTAGCTTCCTGAATAACTGACTCTGAGTTACTTTAATTCATTGTTTGGTGGATGGGTTGGAGTAAAATAGCGTTTTGTTGCTTTTATTTATGTAAGTCAGAATACAGTCTTTTGAGCTGTTGCAAATCTGCATTTATGTTGAATTGCTTTCAAACTCTCCATGGCAACCAGTGTGAAAGCGAGTTTAAGGGGGGGGCACAGTCAGAACGGAGGGACCACAGGGTGTGTCATGCTCACGGTTGTTTATTGGGGCCTAGCATAGACTAGGTTCTTTAATTATTTGTTAAGTAAAAGAAGATGTCCCTCCCATCCCCCCTTGTTAGCTGTGAGTTTTGTAAATGTCTGTCTGAATTTAACTTGCTGAATTAAAAGCCCTGAGCTGGGCTTTCCCCGCTTTACATAGCAATTTTCTTTTTTCTAAGTTGCTCTGATTTTTCTTGATTTGTTAGGTTGGAGGACGTGTGCCAGTGCTGGACACGCTGGTGGAGCTGGTCACTCGAGGCCGCTGTATCCCAGTGCATCTGAGTTCTCTGCCGAGACTGGAGTCGCTGGTAGCTGAGGTCCAGGCTTGGAAAGAATGTGCTGCTAATACATTCTTGATGGAGAATTCCCCGTACTCCCTCTTAGAGGTACGCGGCCTGAGGCCCCTGGCCCCCTGAAGCACGCGGGCCCCCGTCCCTGTGGTGTCACTGGCCGGTCTGTGTGGTGTGAGGCTTATTTCAGTAGAGCCAGGGAGCCCCTGCTAAACTCCCAGGGCGAGGACAGTTACATGTTTTGTCGACACACTGAGGATAGTGTTTAGTGTCTGAGGAAGGACTTTTTTCTCAGAGACGTCCTTCCACGTGTGTTGAGATTGGACTGTTTGCCACGTGCGTTTCGAGAGCCTGGCAGCGGTCCCCCCGGGAAGTGCGGCCCTGCACGTCCTGCGTTGCGTAGCCCGGCCCCGGTCGGGGATTGTGCCGGCGTCAAGCCTGTGCTTTGCGAGATTAGCCTTTTTCTCTCTCCTTCCTTTGCAGAGGCGGCTTTTCTGATTCAGGGCATGTTACAAATAAGATGTTGGGTAGTAAATCGACCTCCTTCCCCACTCAGGCTCTTCCTCTGGGGCTTCCCGGTGCCGAGTCTGAAGCCCAGTGGCTGTGCTGTGTCCCACATTAGGTGCTGTGTCCTCGCTGTGATGTTGGCCTTTTGGGATCAAAGAGGAAGCCGAGGAAGTTAAAGGAGCCCCTGCCCAGCGGGAGGAAGAGAAGCAGCCAGCTGGAGAGTCTGAGTGACCTGGAGCGGGCCTTGGCCGAGAGCAAGGAGACGGCCGCCGCTGTGCGTGTGGGCTCCCCCCCCCCCGG